ACCTCCCCCGCCGCCTCCCTCGCCGCCACCGCCCTCTCCGCCTCCCTCGCCTCCCTCGCCGCCGCCGCCCTTCTCGCCTCCCTCGCCGTCTCCCTCGCCGCCGCCGCCCTCTCCGCCTCCCTTGCTGCCTCCCCCGCCGCCGCCGCCCTCTCCGCTACCCTACGCACGAGCGTTGTGGGCGCGATCGCTAAAGTGAAGCATTGAACGCAGCCTGGGCAGATTTGGCCTGAACCCATCGCTGAAGCCCATCGATCCATGTCACATGCGGGGTGCACCTCCCGCAAGTTGCGCGGCAGCGTTGCGTTACGAAATCGCGTTCATTGGCTGTGCACAGCCTCCTTTTGGGCAAGCACCACCCGTTGGTGTGCTTGTTATCTTTGCAGGGCTCAGCCTCGTACAGCTCGTCGCCCGGGCAAGAGCCACGCAAGGGATGCTGAGGGGTGCCTCTGCAAAATTGCTGCTCAGCCCCGCCACAGGTGCGTGCGGGGTGGATAGTGCACATGGAAGAGGTGTTGATGGTGGCTGCATCGCAGTGGCTCCTCCTTGATGCGACGTGCGACCAGGCTTCAAACTCTTTTGCGCTGGCCTTGTCCTTCAAATGGACGATAGCACTGGTGGGAGGCGACGAGACCAGGCGCAAGCTTGGCAGCTCTGTCAGGCGCGCGATCGCAGCCCCTGTCCACACATCTTCGAAAGGCAGGCAGTGGCCGCACTCGCGCCCGCGCGTAATCTGCTCATATTCGGCAAAGGTGCGAACGGCTGCGGATGCACTGTTGGCTGCTAGTTTACTGCGGACCAGGTGCCGAGCAAGACTCTGGCTTAGAAAGTTCAAGGCGCCCTTTGCAAAGGCAAAGGGTCCTAGCACCTGCTGGTTCATCCGACAGCTGCCAGTGCCGCGCGGAAAGTCGAAGCAGAACCAAGTCGGTGTCTGCCGCGTCATGTTCCAGTGATAGCACTCAAAGTTGCCCCAGTACGTTGGCGTGTCGGGTGGGAGAGCTTGGAGCTGGCGAGAAATGCTCGGCAAGTGCACAAAGGTATCGTCGTCCGCCTTGCCAACGTACGCCGCCTGCGGAAAGGCAGACAACGCGCACGAATACCAGAGCCTTAGAGAGATCAACGGTCCCGTCCCTCGCGGCAAGGACGAATTCGCTCGGAGCAAAATAACATCGCCGTGCGTCTTCGCCTCGAGGTTCACATGAGTGGGAACACCGAAGCCGCGCATGACAAAGCGGACGGCAATGTCGGGCGAAGCGACCGGCAAAATGTGGCGCCGCCACGCATCGCGAAGTCGCTGCTGTGGTGCGTGCGAGAGGACGCCAAGCACCGCAAGAAGGGTACTGTCATTCTCGCCAACGCCAGAGAGACACTCTTGCTGTGCGTTGGTCGGCACGTTGTCAACCGAAACGAGGCCGAGCATCAGGACCACAAGAGCAAACGCAAAGGCTCCATTCGTCGATGGCATGACCAATGCTGCGAAGGCAGGCAGGGAAGGCGTGCAGCAGTGGCTGATGCTTCCTCAGCTCTACAACTGTCCGGGTACCCGGGTGAGCTCTACGGGTCGACTCAGGCGTCTTCTTCGCTGTTTATTCACAGCACGACCCAAAGGGAACCGAGAGCCCAGGGTTGTGCGTTTATGTGAGAGCCGTGCTTGGCCAGTGTAGCGTGGATCGTGCAGCGGGTGAGCAGCTGTCTTCTTTCTTTTTTCTTTCTTGGAAAAGTGAGGGAAGAGAGTGACAGCGAGAGAGGTCGAAGCTCGAAATGACTCTTAGAGAGCGCTCACTCATTGCGTTAGCCGAGTCACACGCTCTGATGCAAGAGTGCACTGAGTGGACCAATCTGTCCGGCCGTGGGCTCAAATCCGACGCAGGTGCGACGCGCCAACGGCGTGCTGAGCGTGCTTCCAAATGGCACGGCAATGCAGCTCGACGCAGGCGATCACATCGTACTCGACCGTCAGAAAAGGGACGGCTCCGTCATATTTGTTGTGCACGGTCCGGCCGCGGCGGCGCTGCCGGCCGCACCGCTTCTCGAGCTTCTCAGCGTGCGCGATGCGGACTCGCTCGTCGGTTCCGACGTGACCAGCGGCGTGAAGCTGGTCCTGCTCGTGGAGCACGCGGCGGATGCCGCCCACGACGTTGCCTATGTGTGGTTTGCTTGGGACACGCTGATCAAGTACGAGCGCGCGGCCGGCACGGAGCCGCTGCGGCAGCTCGCGGCGCGGCTCACGCCCGGTGGTCGCTTCTACGAGGCTGCAGCCAAGACGGAGTGGGTGGACAAGCAGCGAGTGGACGAGGGCCTCAAGCCGTGGCGGAATGTCTGCGAGTGGAAGTGCAACCCGCCGCACACGTGGCAGAGCTTCTCTCAGGACGCGCAACGCCTGGCATCCGCTGCCGCGTGCGGACCACGCGAGCTACGCGGCGCTCTAGAGGCCCTCGCACCTCCGAGCTCGGACCATCTCCCGCCTGCTCGCGAGGGGAGTGGAGGCAAGCGGCGGCGCAACGAGCCGCCGTCCGCGCCAGGGCCGTCTGCTGACGACGACGGCGGGCGGGCGCTTTGCCCGCCGTGGGAGCTGCCGTTGGGCGAGAGCCGCTGGTACCTGACTGCGCGACACCTGCACGGCGGCACGGTCTCCTACGGGGGCCGCAACATCACGCCGAACGAACACAGCAAGCCGTGCAGCCTGGCCGCATTCACGCCCGAGTACGTTCCCGCCGACCTCGCCTCGACACTCACGCGCCTCCTCGATGGCGTCGACGTCGTGCCCTTCGACGACTCGGCGCGCTTCGATGACTCGGTACAAGCACCCGCGACGGTCCCCAACGCGTTCGGCGGCATGCGCCCGCCCAGCTCGCCCTCGCGCCTGGCGTTCGCCGAGGCGGAGGGCTTGACGTACCGGTACGGCAGGGTGCGGTACGTGACGAAGCCGACGCTGTGGTCGGAGGGCGTCGCGGGCCGGCCTGAGGAAGAGGCGCGGCTGGGCTGGAGCCCCCGCCCCTGCCCCGCGCGAGAGGATCACTGTCCGCTTGCCTCCCCCTCCCCCTCAGGCGCAGCTCTGCCGGCTGCTGCGCAGGCTCGCGGCGCAGCTCTCGGAGCGGGAGCTGAAGGGGAGACCGCACAGGTTCAACTACGTCCTCGTGCAGAGGCGCGCTCACCCACGCGCACTGGGCATTGCACTTGCCATGCCGCCGGGCTCTTGTTGAAGGACGTGGAGACAGAGGGACAGCTTGGTCCTTGCTATCGTGTGGAGGGAGTTCACCTCACTCTTCCCTTACCTTAGGTACGCCGGTCGCGACACGTGCCTCTCGTGGCACCGCGACAGGGCGGAGGCGCAGGGCTCGAGCGACGCGGGGCAGGTCTAGACGAATGGACACCTCATTAGAGACCGTGGCGCGTCCCCACCCCTTCCGTCCTGGGGCAGGTCTACGATACGCCCGTCGCCTCCATCTCGCTCGGCGCGTCGCGCGTCTTCGCGTTCTGCCCCGACGCGTACAAGGACAAGCAGCCGCAGTACGGGCTCCGCCTCTCGCACGGCTCTCTCCTCGTGATGACCGCCGAGTGCAACCGCGAGTACGCGCACGCGCTGCTGCAGGGCAGCACCGCGGATGGGGAGGGCGCGCGCTACAACCTCACCTTTCGGTGTATGCAGGGCGGGCCGCCGGGGGTGTGATAGAAATGTGAGAAAAGTTGCCTGAGCACAGGCCACAAGCCGCCTTGAGGACAAACCTCGAGGGACAAGCCTGAGCTCCCGTCGCTGCGCGCACTGCGGGCCGGCAGAGAAAGGAAGAAACAAGAAGCGAGACGTGATTTCTTCTTCTCCTGTGTTAGTGCCGCGAACCGCGCGGTCCGCGTTAATTCTGTTCCTTTTATTGGAATATTGATTGCCAGTGCGGCCAGTCCCGCGCCCAGGAAAGGAAGAAAGAAAATAAACACCCAAACGGTGGGATGGCCACAGTGCTGTGCTCTAAAATTCTTTCCCTAGGGTAAAGTACATTTTTGTGGAAAAGAATTTGGACACGCTCTCTCTCACAGCAGACAGGCTCGACACAGGTGCGAACTGGCGCGTGCTAGCATAAATAAATAAATAAAACGGGCACGCCAAACGAGGGGTGGGAGAAGGACAGGGTCCCCACCTGCACGAGCAGGATCTTGCAAGGACGATCAGGGACACAGGGGAACGGGAGCGGGGAGCGCATCGCGACACGGAGGGGGGCTGGGCAGGGTTTACCCACACGACAGGGTCCCAGGGATTCCTCTCTCGTATAGGACAGGTGCTAGCGAAGAAAGAAAGAAAAGAAAGAAAGAAAACAGACACGCCAAACGAGGGATGGGACGAGGACAGGGTCCCCACCTGCACGAGCAGGATTTTGGAAGAACGATCAGGGGGACAGGTGGGGCTCTCCTGCTCCTGACAAGGGACACGACAGGCTCGCAGCGCGGTGCGCGGTGGACTCCCACATCCACTGGCGGTCTCATCTCAGTCTAGCGACCTGCCTCCAGCTTGTCGCTGGCAGTCTCTCCTACCACAGGCACACTGACACAGGGGTGGCAGGGGCGGCGGCACGAGTCTCCCACATACTATGCGGGCCTCACTAGAGGTGCGGCCTGTGCGTGTCCTCGCCCTTGAGGGGGGAGGGGAAGGGGCTGTGTGTCTGTGCATGTGCATGTGTGTGTGTGTGTGTGTGTGTGTGTGTGTGTGTGTGTGTGTGTGTGTGTGTGTGTGTGTGTGTGTGTGCGTGTGCGTGTGCGTGTGCGAGCCGCCCTGAACGCCACGAGCGCGCCGCGAGCGCCGTAGCGACCGCCACCCAAAAGCGGAGGTACATCAGGAGCCGCAGCCGGCCTGCTCTATCAGCCCCGCAGCCGCGGTGGCGCGACCGGACCGCGGTCGCTCCAGGCGCCTTTTGGCCCCGGTTCGAATCGCGGTTGGCGCGCGCCCTCGCGGAGCGACGCGTGGCGCGCGACGCCCGCGCGTGCGCGTGCGCGCCCAGCCGAGCCCTAGGCCGTATGCCGTCTGCCGTCTGCCGTCGGCCGTCGGCCGTCGGCCGTCGGCCGCCGGCCGCCGCCGCCGCCGTAGCGGCGGCGAGCGCTCGCCTTTTGCGCGACGCGCAGTGTGGACGCGCGCCGCCCAGCGCCGGACGTGCCGGAGCCGGTCCGGCGCGCGCGCGGGCGGCCAGCGCCTGTAAACAGACAGCTGCCGCCCACACGTTCAAAGGTGCTAGCATTTGTGGAAAAGAACCGCAGAAAATTCTTTTCGTCGCGATGTCCACCCCGCCGCGCCGCCGCTCGCGCCGCCTCGCCTCCGCCGCCGCCGCCGCCGCACACTGCCCCCTCACCGACCTGCCCCCTGAGCTTCTCGCGCGCGTCATCTCCCGCTTCGACAGCCCCGCCGACATCGCTCGCGTCGCGGCCGTCTCGCTGCTCTTCCACGCCTCGCTTGCGCTGGAGGGCATCCGCTTGTGGGCGCGAGAGCGCGGCTTCGAGCTGCCGGCGCAGCCAGAGGACGAGGGCTGCGCCGTGCGGTGGCTGTGCTGTTCTGCGCTGCTGTGTGAGTCCAACCCGCCGGCGAGGGCGGCGGCAGGCCTTCAGCACAGCCTCTTCATCGACGGCGAGGGGCGGCTCTCGTCGTGCGGCTCGGCTCCGTCCTACTTCCCAGGGCTGCTCGGGCACGGCGAGGGCGTGACGCGGCTCAACACGCCGACCCGCCTCCCTTCCCCGCTGGGCGGTGAGCGTGTCGTGAGCGTGTCGGCTGGAGGCGGGCACAGCCTCGTCCGCACCGCCGACGGCACCGTCTGGAGCTGGGGCCGTGGAGGCTTTGGCATGCTGGGCCATGGCGACGAGCAGCACCAGCTGCTGCCCAAGAAGATCGAGGCCTTTGCTGGCCAGCGCGTCGTCGCTGTTTCGGCGGGGAACACACACAGCCTCGCCCTCGCCGCCGACGGCGCTCTCTGGAGCTGGGGCTATGGATACTTTGGCCGGTTGGGCCACGGCGACGAGCAGCAGCAGTGGCAGCCCAAGAAGGTCGAGGCCTTTGCTGGCCATCGCGTCGTCGCCGTGTCGGCTGGAACCGCGCACAGCGTCGCCATCACCGCCGACGGCAGCGTCTGGAGCTGGGGCCAGGGACACTTTGGCCAGCTGGGCCACGGCGACACGCAGAGCCAGCTGCTGCCGAAGAAGGTCGAGGCTTTGGCTGGCCAGCGCGTCATCGCTGTGTCGGCTGGATACTTCCACAGCATCGCCCTCACCGCCGACGGCACCGTCTGGAGCTGGGGCGATGGAGGCCACGGCCGGCTGGGCCACGGCGACCGGCAGGACCAGCTGCTGCCAAAGAAGGTCGAGGCCTTGGCTGACCAGCGTGCCGTCGCTGTCTCGGCTGGAGGCCGGCACAGCTTCGCCCTCACCGCCAACGGCGCTGTCTGGAGCTGGGGCGGTGGAGCCTGGGGCCAGCTTGGCCACGGCGACGAGCAG